CACACTTCACCACCTAAAATCTAGGCTCACTTTCAAATATCCCGCCTTAAGTTGTAAACGTAGTAGCGTTGGAGACCTCAACAAAGTTGATAAATTTACGCGCACGTGTCACATGTGTGTTTGGTGCCATGTCTGGCTAGTCATGTCGGTGGCGTGATGTTCCTTATCTGACTGTTGTGGTTATCTTCCGTTTAGTTCCGTTTCTTGTTTAAAGCTATAGCACACAAGCGGTATTTGCGCGTTAGCTGTAAACGAAAGATAATAATTCGATATTTCAGGGAAGAAAGACGTAAAGGCCAAACTATAAAGTTTACAGCGAAAAAAATGTTTATAAAGGTTATACGCAACGAAAGGTTATACTAGCAATGCGTTCTGTGCACCGTTCAGGTTCTCGGGTTTCTCTCAGAGAAAAGTTTAAGGAGACTGGCACCATGACTGTGGTATCACAGTACAGTTACTCAAATATTTTGTATGCCCGTAAAAATATACATAATTTCATTAAGAATGAAGTTATCCATAATATTAACCTTACCACTAAGTCCAAACTCGTGGTACTACGATTTCGTTTAATAAGGTAAACGATTCGTTTATGGGGAACTGTATACGTTTTTACAATAAGATTCCGAAGCATATATTAAGATTACCAATTTGTAAGTTTCAAACTTACATTAAAAGTATTTTAATTGAAAAGTCATATTACAAAATTGTAGACTACGTGTTAGATAAAGATGTATGGAAAGAAAACATGAGGATAGATTCCACACAAAAATTATTCAAAATGTATTCTATAGCATTTAAGTTTATTTAAAAAGAGCAACCCCTAGGGTTTGTTGCTCGTTCTTGTCTGGGAAGCCGGCACAGTGAACGAGCAGTAGTTTAAAAAATTACGTTTTCAAGTGTAAAAATTTTACCTATGGAATAAATGATTCTATGACTTTGACTTGTTATTGTTCTTAAATTTTTTACTTGTATACCTGATTTTGCGTAAAAATGTAATTTTTTCGCGTAATATATTTCTTATGCCAACCAGGTGCAAAGAGCTTGAAAATGTAACCCAAGTACAGACGGCAGCTCATCGTGCTATAGATTGACTAATCTTGTTCCGTTGCACTGGAGGCGATATTCGAACAAAAGTGTAATAAGCTTGAGGTGCTGTAGACTGTACATCAACAGATAATTTTTAATAAAATTGGACTTTACGCCTTTTCTTCTTAGAAGTATCGATTATAGAATAAAATTTTATAGTCTTAAAATTTTAAAATGAAAAATTGAAAAAATATCACTCGTAAACAGTACCCAAGTAAATAGTTAGATTTAAGTTAGATTAACGATGATTGTTTTGTTGCAGGACATTTTGTTTAGAATTGTAATAATTATATAACGATTAATGTACTGCTTACGTTTGGTTACAGAATTGTAATAATTATAATAAAGTTTCAAACAAATCTAAGTTTCGGGCCCTTTACAGGTCTCATGGTCAGGGCTGACCATTATAATAAATATATGTTCCGACAGAGAATATAATTTTAGTAGCAGTAGAGTTCCTTGCGCAAGAGTTCGTCCAGGGAAGTACTGCCACTTTACCTATTTCTGCCGCTAAAACAGTAATGCGTTACGGTTTTGAAGGGTAAGGTTGCTGGTGAAATTACAGGCACATGGGACTTGTGTTGGTCCTGTCACTTGGTATTAATTATAAAAAAAAAATACAAGAGACGATTGAAAAACAGCACTATGCCAGAGGCTTCGTCCTTTTCATAAAGTTACTATTAGAAATCTGAGTTACATGTATTATGTGATTTTCTTTATAATATGTGTATTTGATGAACTAAATTCTATTTATTTATTTTTAACCGACTTCAAAAAATGAAGGAGGTTCTCAATTCGACTGTATCTTTTTTTATGTATGTTATGCGATAACTCCGGTGAACCGATTTTGATGATTCTTTTTTTGTTGGAAAAAGGGTACCTCGTAAGTGGGCCTATTTAATTTCGAAGAAAATATTACATCTCTAAACGTGGCAAACTAGGGTGTTAATGACTTTTGAGGCCAGGTTTTCTAGTACTTCTAGACTGAGATTATTAGCTAAATATCCAACTTGGACCCGTTGGATTCTTGGGTGTTTAATCTTTGACCCACTGAGATCGTAAATCGATTGCGGCGTGTTGTGTGGTAAAGCAGGTGCAAGGTTCTAGCGGTGGTGCCCTTGTGGAGTTGCTAACGCACAAATATCGATTATCCTTGTTACATTTACAGCACGGTACATTTGGAGTGATTGGCTTTCTGATTTTAGATCGCCGAGTTAATTACATATTTTTCCGATAGTGGTTGTTGATATGGATCCGTGTAATCTATAATAATATAAATGGAATGGTTTCTGTGTTTGTTATTGTGTCAGATGTTCCTCGGTTAACCCTAGCAATTGCTTCTCGTGACATGTTAGAAAGAATAGTGAGGGGAATGTTGTACGATTAAAGAACGATATACATACAAACTAAATAAAAAAATTCGCACCCTTTTGGCATAATAAAGTGCTATTAAATATCACATAAAAGTTATAAAAATAATCACTTTAAGAATATTAAAGGTAATAGGGGACATACTAGTTATACTAGAAAATGTCACTTAAACAATATGCATTACAGAATAATTGATTTTTTATTTATATTATAAATAAATCTTCCAAACTGTATTTTTATCTTTTAATAATGATTAAAAGATAAAAATACAGTTTGGAAGATTTAGATTAGTATTGTAAATGTTTATATCTTTTAAATATGTTTAAAAGATATAAAAATTTACAATACTACAGTTTTTAGGTTTTCGCGATTGTTACACATAGGAAATGAAACTATTTTTGACGGATTAAATCGCGTATATTTGTTATTTCACACACACCAACAGTGGTTAAGTCAATCACTTAAGTCTATTATTAAAGCAAAGCACCCTATAGAAAGAAAAGTTATTAATTAATACCGTATTTTTAATTTTACAAAGAACATTCGAATTTACACCACGTATACGATTTACAAATTATTTTATTTTAACACATATGAATTTATATTAAGTTAAATTATAAATAAAGTACACACACCCTCAACATAACGAGAGAAATAAATGCAGGCCGTACAAATATTTCTCCCGGCCCGGGAATCGAACCTGGGACCTCTGCGTGGTAGTCCGGTATGGTAACTGTTCGACCACGGAGGCAGTTATAAATTAATTAAAATATAGTATACGTAAGCAGCAAGTATGTCCTTTTTTATAATATCTTGGGACGGAACAAGTCGTGCGCCAGCACCCTTCCGGCAGAAGTAGGTAAGGTGGCAGTACTTCCCTGGACGAATTCTTTCACAAGGACTGCTATAAATGTAGTATGTAGAAAAGAGTGGTTTTGAAACCCAGAAACTTTACTATTGTGGTAGTCACAGATGTCTATTTGCAAAGCTACATAGTGGTATTTACATAATCTCGGAAAACTACAAATTTCTGGGTTCTTTGTCACAAATTTGTAGAATTTTCGATGAAATATACTATTGATTTGAAATATAATGTTCCTTTATAACTGACTTAAAAAAAGGAGGGGTTCTCAATTCGACTTATGTTTTTTTTTATGTAATCACGCGATAACTTTTTGTGAACCGATTTTGATAATTATTTTTTTGTTGGAAAGAGGGTACCTTGGTAGTGGTCCCATTTATATTTCAAGAAAACATTCCACCTCTAAGGGTGGTAAACTAGTGGACGAATGACTGATGAGGTCGGTTTTTTAGTAGTCTGTACTGAGATTATTGTCTTTAAATAAAGAGAAACACGAAAATTTTTAAGTTTCCGTAATAGTACGCAAATTTCAACTTTTCAAAAGTAAAGTTTTTGCAGAGAAAATAAAGTTTTGTCATATTTTTATGATAGAACCAATAGGAAAATGGTATTTATCACCCAGAAACAAAAATCATGTTACATGGTTATGTTTCAAAATTTAAACTTTACACAGAGTTATCCTATAATTGAATCATAAAGTTATAAAGCATTATTTGCGCAACCCACACTCGTTAGACAATGCTAATATAATTAGCCTCAAATGTCAACAACATCTGATATCGAAATAAACATTACGACATGAGGGCTTTGGACATGTTTATCATTTTATATTTTGTTACTATGGGCACATATCACTTAATAGTACAGTAATACTATTAAGTGATATACCTAGTAATGTACTTTGAGATGCGGTCGAGATAACGTAAAGTTATGAAAATATTAGAGATAGTTTTAGTTGGATAGCTATGATGGTCCTTGCGTAATAATAACACATTATAAATAAATAAATAAATAAATAACGCACACACTCAACATAGCCCCGCACTAGGGAAACCCTGTGTTGCGGGTGCCATGGACACACACATAGACAACCACAAATTACACCCAAACTCACGAGAGAAATAAATGTAAGCCACACAAACATTTCTCCCGGCCCGGGAATCGAACCTGGGACCTCTGCGTGGCAGTCCGGCATGGTAACCGTTCGGCCACGGAGGCAGTTGATTAACCGGTCTCGTTATTATTTAAAATGTGTATAAAAAGAATTTTGTATTTTGTATTTCGTATAAAAAAATTTAGAATTTCTTATTCTTCTAATTAATAAGACTGTAAGTTAAATAACTGGACCGTTGTATGCAACCAGAAAGGTGCCACAATATGGCCGGTGAGGCGAAAATGGCGGCATTGCCTAGATGCGTTCTGCGTGCTTATAATTTAAAAAAGTGCACATTCATAATAGATCAATTATATAATTGAGGATCAAATACTATATATATAATACTATTATCCCGTGACAAAATAATTGAAATTAAAATAAAACGTCAACTTAATTGTTAATCAAGCAATACGCATCACATGTTGCAGTTACAGTTAAAATGAGTATGACAAAGAAGTAAGGATCAATCAAATCGTTAAACTACCGACTGAAAAGAGAAATAACCAAAACAAATTTCACACTCACGTCTCTGACAGCTGAATCTTCATCTTCATAAACAAAAGATTGACACTTTTCGATAACATCCCTGTCAAAACTGTCAGCATCGCAAGCACCGGTAACGTTGTTTTCCCTAAAGTGATATCTTGTACATTTCGACAGAGTGTCTTTTTCTTTTGGTATGGCATTCGTAAGCCACAGGCTTGAGTTGTAGCTTTCGCATTCCGGAATTTGGCATCTGTAACAAAGAAACGCTCCATTATATATTTCATTTGTAGTTTAATGTTACATTGTGTATTAAAGGCGGTTAATAAGAAATTACTAATGAGAGTTTGTTAAAAGTCTGAAGCCGAAGGCCTTAAAGACTCGAGGTTTATAATTTCTAGCGCCCGTGCTACATACAAAGTTTTTCATCACATTTGCCAGGAAATAGATACAACGATAATTTATTTCTTGTATGAATAAACATCGCTTCACAACACAATATTTACGGATTTTGTAAATGGCGGGTCTTTTGTTTTTTTTTTAAACAGATTGCCAGCTATTCTTCCATTGATAATAAACTCGAACTAAAATATTTTAAACGCCTAGCCTATATTACATATAAAAGAAATAATTTAAAATGTTTATAAAATACTGCAGAATTTGAATTCACAAAATAAATTTAGTAAAATATATAGTTAAATTGCAAATATTAACTTTTTTTTAATAATTCACTTTTTTTGTGCGTATGGCTATGCGAAATATACGTTAAGACTTTTCGAGCATAAATTGCTTAATCTTGACGTAAAAAATCCATAGGACATTGCGGTCGACTTTGCCTGCATGTCAAGACACTGTTTACGAGCAAGTGTGACGAAAAATCATTTTATTGTACATGTGTAGGCATGTACTGGCGTGCATGTGTATCACGCTCGTTAACTGTAAAGGAAAACATCTTACGTAAACCAATACCACCAATCTCTAGAAACAGGAACCTCGGCAATGCTGTTGGGAATGGAAATTGACATGACTTTGAGCTGGAAACCGCATGTTGAAACATTACAAGCTAAACTTTCTTCAGTGACTTACGCGCTGGGTCATTTAAAGAGGGCCACATAATTCAAAACAGCCCTAGCAGCTTATCACGCGTACTGTACTGCTAGACTGAGCTATGGCATCATATTGTGGGAAAATAGTACTGATATAGACAAAATCTTTGTACTACAAAAAAGGTGTAGGTGCATTCTATTCAACCTTCTGCAAACAAACTCATGCAAGCCTGTATTCATAGAAAACGGCATTCTTACTCTGACCTCAATATATATTGGAATCGTGTAAGTTTGTTAGAAAGCACTCACATTTGTATTCCCCGATAAAAACAGTAAAACGAAGCAATAGAACCCAAAATAAAATTAAAGTACCTTTCTCTAAACTAAAGATATGCACAGCTGCTCCACATTCTATAGTTAGCAAAATATATAACAAAACACCTAATCATCTTAAAGTTATACCAAATTACACTAAATTTGTAAATCATTTGAAGCAATTCCTTATAGCAAAATGTTATTACAGTATTGCCGAATTCTTCGATGATATACATAAATAATATACCGAAACCTTCAAATATTTTTAAATTTCATCACAATCTTCGACGGGTGTGTAATGTACGCGTTAGTATGTTCCTATGCACTAATTTACAATTTAGAGTTTAAAATGCAAATAAATAAATTGAATTTTGATAAATAGATAGATACTTAGAATAATAACGCATAGAATGATGGTTTCACATCAAACGAACTGTCACAAGTGAGGCATAAATCAAATTCATGTAGGCTAGTTTTAGTAGTAGGTTAATTTTCGGTTTTATTTATACAAAAATTAAAGTTGAAACGCGTTACTTCCTTGTGGAATGTGATGTTAGTATCTATTTTATGCTTGTCTGACGTATTTTTACTCTCATTTACCGCACATTTCGTCATTTTCAGCTAAAATTCTGGAGCTGTTCGCGGTGCAAGTTGACCTTGAGCGCTGACGGCCCGCCCGCTCGTGTAGGCCCTTTTGGCGCGCTTCAATTTGCCTCACTTAGCGCGTGCGGACTAGGTTTCTATGCGTTATTATTCTAAGGATAGATAGATATAAGATTAAGATAAGAAGTTGACATTAGCTTTTATATTTTATTATCTGAATTATTATTATATTAATATTCATTGACGACAACACTGTTCGATAAAACTGTTATTACTCTAAAATTATGAATATTAAAAGACTTAATTTTTTTTCTTCTTTCCATAAAGGAAAAGGCAAAGGTTTTACACCATACAGCCAAGTCTTGGTACATTATTCTTTTTTTTATCGTAATTATGTAATGGACTGTCTCCATGGCCAAACGGTTACCATGCTGGGTTGTCATGCAAAGGTCCCGGGTTGGATTACCGGGATAAATATTTGTATGCCCTACATTTATTTACCTCGTGAGTTTGGGTGTAAGTTTTTGTTACCTATGTAGTGTATTCTATGGCACCTGCGATACAGGGTCTTCCTAGTGCCGGGCTATGACTGGGTGTTATTTGTTTAAGCTGTCCATTTTTATGATCGACCATTTTAGCAAAACTAAGTTTTTAACATATTTGGAATCAGCAAAACGTAATCAACGACTCTAATCAGTTTTTTATAATTATTTAATTACAAATTAGTGTGTAATATGTCAAGTCCGGAAGTTTGCATTTATAAACTCGACTCGCTCTTGCACGGCTCGGTGGCCTAAAACGCTCACGAGTCCGAATCAAGTCGAGCGCGAGTCAACGGAGCACGGACTCGAGTCTAAAAAGAACTCTAGTTGTAAACCTAATTCGAGTTTTTAACAAACGATTCGACTTCCAAGACTCGACTTGTAGCCACTTCTACTCTACAAAGTCTCGAGTACGACAAGTAGGATTCAGTTTTACTAAACAACTACTATTGCCCACGAATTAAATAAAAAACAAAAACCCAATATGGTGATTTAAAAAAATTATATTAAAACTTAATAATACTACATTTTAACAAACCACGCCTCTACACCGCTTAGTATATACTTACCAGACTCAAGCTCGACTCGTTACATAAATAGACTCGAGCACTACTTAATGTCGAACTCGCGTGTATTCGGTAACTCGATAGGTTCGTAATACGTTGAGCAGTGGAGTCTCAGATGAGTCGAGTCTTGTGAATTGGAGTCGAGTCTTAAAATGTAAACTTCCGGACTCGAGTGTTTTACAACACTAATCCAAATACGTTTTAGATATCGTAGGGTGTGAGACATTAGAGTTTAGGCGAAAACGAAATCTATTAATTCATTACAATAAGATTCTTAGAAGGGATATAGATAGTCCAGAGTACTTCTATCTATTAGTTTGATTGTGCCTCAAAATTTTACGCGATTAGGTATTCGACGCCGACTTCAACTGTTCGAGTCCTCAGACGATCTTCGCACGAAACACGACCGTAACTCCCCCACGCCTCGAGCTCTTGCCTTGCTCAATACTCTCCTGGACGAGGTCCGTGATGCCGCTGTGATCACCGACAAGTTACCGAAACTAATATATAATTTTGACAATTTTTTAAATTACTACTTGACATGATCGTAGAGTGTACCTAACATTATTGGTTATTATTATTTCATTGTTTTATTTTCTTTCTGTCTTATTGTTTATGTATTGACTTGTACTTATGACAAGTATTGTGAGTGCTTTGGGTGACACTGTAAACTCACAATGTATATTTTTAAATAAATAAATAAATGCAAATGCGTTAGATATGACAAGTAATTAATTTAGACTACTGTATTTTTATTAGACGAAAGAAATTTTAGGAAGTCAAGAAAGTGTGCGTAGGAAAGAGACTTGAGCAAGTGCGGCAAGTATCTCAAACTATTCAGCCTGTATAACCAAAATGGTTGATGGGATATTATAGGTGTGTGGAGGTTCAATATTCTATTGGGGTTCCTCTAAGCTTTCTACACAATGCTGAGTTAGAAACTAAGTTAAAAAGTCATCATCAATATCAGCAGAATGATATTGAAAGCATGAAAGAAAAAAGAATTTGAAATCTTTAACATTTTGGAAACTTATTCCTAAGAACAGGTTTCGGAATTGTATTATACATCCTATGCCTTCAGCTCGTGGTTAACGTTGAATAGCTTTACTTATCTATATTGTCATTCTTGTCTAAATCTTCACTTGTTACATACGTATATATTTCAAGCCCATTTCACATCAGGGTAGGACGGTCCACCCAGGTGAACCAGTCAGGTGGTCCACGGGAAAGAAGCGGTAGACATTCACATCATTAATATTTAAATTGAATACGTAAGGGAAGTATTTTTAAATTGCATGATCGCTTCAAGCCGCCTACGACCCTGCAAACTAGAAAATTGAAAAGCGCTAAACGCCGTCGGCGTAATGCGAAAGGTCACTAAGTCCCAAATTAGCCAATATAAATTGGCCAATAGCAACTTAGTCCATCGGCAATCCAGAATAAGTTGTCAGAGGCCAACATAAATTAGTAATTTGCGACTTAGAGACTTTTCGCTTTACGGTGACGCATAGTACAGACGTTACTGCCGTCTAAACTCAAGCTGAACATTGACGGTTCTTTTTCCGTTGCATTGGAAGCGATATTCGAATATAAGCGTGTAGCTCGATGTGCTCTTGACTGTACATTAAAATGTAGTTTATTTAATTACAATGACGTGTTTTAGGCCCAAGTAAGTATGCCCTCAGATTTGTATGTAAAACACGACCGGGATTTTTTAAAGTATATATTTTTACATAGAATATACAGGGTAATTTTTAAAATATTAATAATCACAGGACTATTATTACTTACATCATAAACTACAACTTTTGTTTTACGACTGTTAGTAACACATCTTCATCATCATTCTCTTCTATTAACTCTGTGGTAATAAAGAAATCATCCAGTCCAATGGAAAAAGCAGTAGCTGGAGTTGGGGTAGACGTGCACATATGAACATACTACTTTACTACCAAATATAGTTGTAAAATGTATCAGAGATAGTGGAGATAGTACAATAAAAAATTTAAAAAGTTTAGTTTTGGTAAATACATTACGTTTCATGGGACTATCATCGGTTACCCGCCGCCCTTACCAGGGCATCCGTCTACCTAGTAGGGGGCCGTCTCACTGAACGCCTTCCTGTTCGTGGTCTCCATTCGAGAACCTTTCTGCTCCAACGGCCGTCAGTTTTACGAGTTA